TGGGCCAAAGGCAGGAGCCAAACAGCTGCGCCACCCAGGGATCCCTCTGTGCATGTTTATTGGGTGCTTGTGTCTCTTTTATAAATTTCAAGACACATCAGGGCCTTCCTAGAAGACTTTGCTTCCCTTCTCCTTGTTCTTGGACAATTTCAGGGGATATGGCTAGGGGCCAATTTGTCTGAAATGCCAGCAACTCCCATTAAGTCCCTGTCACTTTCCAGTAGGGTTTTATAGGCACGAGCTCTGTCTCAGGCCTGCTCTTCCAGTTTGCAGATGCCTCTATAACCCCAACACAAGGATCTAGGTGAGATATATTACTTCTTTATTTTAAATTTAAAAAAATATTTATTTATTTATTTATTTGAGAGAGAGAGAGAGGGAGGGAGAGAGAAAGAGAGACAGCAAGGGCTAGGATGGACAGAGAATCTGAAGTAGACTCTCCACTGAGAACGGTGCCTAACACAGGGCTCAATCTCATGACCCTGAGATCAGGACCTGAGCTGAAATCAAGAGTGATGCTTTACTGACTGAGCCACCCAGATGCACTAATACATTGCTTCTTAAGAAAAAAGAACTCTGCAGATCTTTGAGCATCAGCTTAGGGCACATATCTAGCAAGTTTCTGGACAGCTTTAGTTGCTACTAAAAATACAAAGGAATGAAATCATTCATTTTCCTGTTAGGTAGAAGTGAACAGACTAAGAGGCAGATAGTAATAATTATAGCCTAATGGCAATTTCTTAAAAGTAATACAAATGTCTGTATATAAATCACACATTTTAAGTAATGTGGAAAATATCATGAATTTTTTCGTGGGTGCTCTTCACTGTGACATGGAATAACATGTCTTTGTTTACCCTTTTTAAAAAAAAAAGATTTTATTTTTAAGTAATCTCTATAGCCAATGTAGGGCTGTAAACCACAACCCTGAGATCAAGAGTCACATGCTCTACCATATGAGCCAGCCCAGTGACCCCAATATCCTTTTTATTTATTTAAAAAATTTTATTTTATTTATTCATGAGAGGCAGAGAGAGAGGGGGGGTGGGCAGAGACACAGGCAGAGGGAGAAGCAGGCTCCAAGCAGGGAGCCTGAAGCAGGGCTCAATCCCCGGTCTCCATGATCATGCCCTGGGCTGAAGGTGGCACTAAACTGGTGGGCCACTGGGGCTGCCCCAATATCCTTTTTTTTTTTTTTTTTTAAAGATTTTATTTATTTATTCATGAGAGACACACAGAGGAGAGAGAGAGGCAGAGATACAGAGGGAGAAGCAGGCCCCATGCAGGGAGCCTGATGTGGGACTTGATTCCGGGACTCCAGGATCACACCCTGGGCCAAAGGCAGGTGCTAAACTGCTGCCAATATCCTTTTTAAATAAAAAGCATTGCTTTCCAGTTTTGTAACTGTCCTCAATATCTGGATTAACAGAAGACAGCTGGATTTTCACATCTTCTTCTTCACTCAATCAGTTGAAATATCATAGGTCAGACAGCCTTTGGGAAACTCTACTGTTCACTAATGAGAGAATAAAAGTGAAAAAGGCAAATAACATCTTAATGTTATCAATACAGTTTTGAATTTAAGGATCCCCTGGAAAGGTCTTGAAAAACTCACCTGTATGCATTCCCAGCTACACCCAGAACAACTCTTGTGACCTCTGAATCTTCTGGGTTCAGCCAATGGGAGCCCAAGAGAGAACTGAGTGATAAGACAGTGAGTGCATTAGGACATTGACCTCTATAGGGTTTGCCTACATTGAGGCTGGCTTTGACTCTTGAAAAAGAGAGTAAGAGCTTCACGAAGTTAACTCTCTTCTGTGGATTCTAGTTACTTCTCCCCTCATCTCTTTGGGCCTTTGTGTGAAACATCTGAGTTACTGAGGGATCTTAGTTCTTCTGTTCACCTGTGTAAATAACTTCTTAATTTATCCTAATACTCTGTACCACATATAAATGAAACGAAAATTCAAAATAACACAGAGCCTCATTATATGTCAGGGGTTTCTAAGGGGGGGGGGTCCCTGGAACATCAGGATTTGCATGATCTGGGAACTTGTTAGAATTAGAATTCACATTTTTGGGCCACATTCAGGAGTGACTAAATTAGAAATTCTAGGGATGGGCCCCAGGAATCTGTTTTTTAACAAGCCTCTCAGGTGATTTTAATGTATGCTAAATTGAGACCCGATCTGAAAACACTGCTTAAATAAGGTAGTTAGTAGTGCTCTGGTAAATTTAGAAGCTGTAGTCAGATAAAGTTAGCCCTTAGTTAATAAAAGCTAATGGTAGCAAGCTTTATACGTGGTGCCAGGCAATGTTCTAAACATGTGACATATGTCTTTGTAAAGACATATTTAGTCTTTACAACAATTCTAGTGTAATAACTGTTAGACCAACTTTGGATTTGTGGAAAAAAGCTAGGCTTAGAGAGTGTAAAGTACTTTGGCAAAGGACATGTAGTAAGTGGCAGAGCAAGGTTCCAATCCAGACAATCTAGTGCCGGAGTGTGAGCTCCTAACTGCTACACAGTGAGGCCCCACAGTCATATCAAGGGGCTGGAGGGATTTGGGTTTCCTAGCAACAGAGTTGGTGGAAGGTCCCTTTAGCCATCCTGCTAACCTAGGATGATTGCTTGCACGTTTCCCAGCACTGGAGCAACGGAGATGAGCCCTTTCTAGGAAAGAGCTAGAATGAGCGAGTCTTCCCTCAAGTAGACTGGATAGGCTTTTCTGAATATAACTAACAGAGGATGTAAGGGACTTTCCAGCAACTTTGTGAGGCACTAAGCTTATGAGAAACAGGGCTCTGGGGTTCTATCCTGTACTTACATGTGTTCCCAGGCATGGATTACATGAAAATAGTTCTGCTGTATTCCCTCCCGCTTCTGACCCAGTCTTTCACCTTATGTTTTAGGTTGACGTTTCATTGTCATTTTATTTATTTTTTTAAAAGATTTTTATTTATTCAGGAGGGAGAGAGAGAGAGAGAGAGGCAGAGACATAGGCAGAGGGAGAAGCAGGCTCCCTGCAGGGAGCCCAATGTGGGACTCGATCCCCAGACCCGGGATCACGCCCTGAGCTGAAGGCAGACAACGGCTGAGCCACCCAGGCATCCCTCATTGTCATTTTAAAATAAAAAAAAATAATGTTAAAAGTTCCATTTCAAAATTTAAAGTTTCTGCTTTTATTTTTAAGATTTTATTTATTCATTGATGAGACACACAGAGAGAGGGGCAAAGACACAGGCAGAGGGAGAAGCAGGCTCCATGCAGGGAGCCCGATGTGGGACTCGATCCCGGGTCTCCAGGATCACGCCCTGGGCTGCAGGCGGCGCTAAACCGCTGAGCCACCTGGGCTGCCTTAAAGTTTCTGCTTTTATAATACAAACCAAACACTTCAGAGATTTATTTTTAACCTATGGATGACGGATGTAATCTGTTTTTCTGGAATAATTCTGGGAAAACTTTCCACATTACCATAATAAAAAAGTTGTTTCTGCGTTCAGTTTATTCTCATACATAGTTCGAAATTGTTCAATAGTGAGTTTCTCTGCCATGCACTAAATCTATATAGAACCTTTCCATTTTTTTTAAGATTTATTTATTCATGAGAGACAGAGAGAGAGAGAGAGAGAGAGAGAGAGAGAGAGAAGCAGGCTCCATGCAGGGAGCCCAACATGGGACTTGACCCCGGGTCTGCAGGATCATGCCCTGGGCTAAAGGCAGCGCTAAACCACTGGGCCACCGGGGCTGCCCTATATAAAACCTTTCTGTGGCTAAAGTGACTAGGTATAGAGATGCCTGGGTGGCTCAGCGGTTGAGCGTCTGCCTTAGGTTCAGGGTGTGATCCCAGGATCTGGGATCGAGTCCTGCATCAGGCTCTGTGCGAGGAGCCTGCTTCTCCCTCTGTCTGTGTGTCTCTGCCTCTCTGTGTCTTTCATGAATAAATAGATCTTAAAAAAAAAAGTGACTAGGTGTGTATAAATCAATACACTTATAAATATTTTAATGGCCAAATAGTCTAGGACAGCATTCTTCAAATTAATACACAGAAACATTTCAAGGGTATGTGGGCAAGGACGACTTCAGTGGACTTGGTATCCAGAACTTTACCTTCCACACAAATTCCTGCCTAAAACATATCATCTCCTTGCCTCCTGAGATCAAGGCTCTTTTTTCACATGAGCTCCTTTCTCCTTCATACATGAAAATCCCACTTCGCTGAATCTTACTCTTATACTCTGAGTGTAAAATCCTCCAGGGTGGTGAAAAAGTGAGTAACTACAATGGCTGAGTAACAAGATCTCACAGAAATGAATGGGATTAGAAATAATTAAAATAATTAAATTTTATGCATCATAATTTGTGATCAAGTATCATCAGGTAAGTAAAATGGAAATATAAGTTCAAGGAGAAAAAGGAATGATGTAAACTTTCCTATTTAAAAAAAAAAGCTTGAAAGGATCCCTGGGTGGCGCAGCGGTTTGGTGCCTGCCTTTGGTCCAGGGCGCGATCCTGGAGACCCGGGATCGAGTCCCATGTCAGGCTCCTGGTGCATGTAGCCTGCTTCTCCCTCTGCCTGTGTCTCTGCCTCTCTCTCTCTCTGTGTGACTATCATAAATAAATTAAAAAAAAAAAAAAAAAGCTTGTAGGGCACTAGGCTGGCTCTGTGGGTAGAGTATGAGACTTTTGATCTTGGGGTGATGAGTTTGAGCCACACATTGGACATTGAGATTACATATAAAGAAAAAATATTTATTTTATTATTTTTTAAAGGTTTTATTTATTTATGAGAGAGAGAGAGAGAGGCAGATACAAAGGCAAGGCAGAAGCAGGCTCCTCATGGGTGCCCCATGTGGGACTCAATCCCAGGACCCTGGGATACCACCTGAGCCGAAGGTAGATGCTCAATCACTGAGCCACCTAGGTGTCCCAGAAAAAAAATATTTAAAAAAAAGTTGTTTGCATCTTTTAGTTTTTTGAATCTTTGTTTTAGCCCTAGGGGGGTTGCACTGTTTCTGGAGGTACTGCAGTATCAGGAGGTCAATGCATCAAGTGGACAGAACAAGCTCCTGTTTCCATCTCCCTGTTTCCGAAATCCACTTTATATGTTGTCCTTGGGTAGAGGACATATCAGATATTCTGGTGATAACAGAAACTATACTTGATCTTAGCCAAAAGGCCAGGATCTACACTCAATGTGGGGCTTAAAGTCACAAGCTCTATAGACTAAGCCAGTGGGGTGCCCTGGTTTGCATTTAAAAAAAGAAAAGGATAATGAAACAATCAAAACGGTAGTTTCTGTTAGATACAGGAAAAAAAATGATTTAACAGTTTTATCTTACAAAGTCAAATTGACAGTATGCTAAAAATTGCATCATTTCAACTATCTCAATTTTTGAAAAGCTATAGATGTCAAATTTAAAATATGCAAAGGGAAACATAATTTTTAAAAATACTTTTGTGCATATGCAAAGATGTTTGCAGATTGCTTGTATATGATTAGATGTAATCTTTGACCACCAGGGGAATAGGACTGTCTACTTTCTGTAAGTTGGGGGCAGGTGCACATGGGGGACTTGCACATGGTGTCTGAGTAACCAGCCCAACAGGGTACACATTAAACTTTGGGGCTTGCTTCTGTGCTGGAGGGTGGCATCCATAACCCTTCACCCACACCTCCACTGCCTACTTGTTAGCCACCCTCCTTACTTCCTGCTCTCCACACACCTCTCCAGTAGGATAGCAGGAGCTGAGAAAGGTGAGCTTCAGGTGAGACTGAGAATAGTGATCTTGTTCTTATTTTCGTAGAATAGTCCCCTTTGCTACATCCTGTAACAAGTACCTGTGCTGATCTACTTTTTTTTAAGATTTTATTTATTCATGAGAGACACACACACACACACACACACAGAGAGAGAGAGAGAGAGAGAGAGAGAGAGAGAGAGAGAGAGAGAGGCAGAGACACAGGCAGAGGGAGAAGCAGGCTCCATGCAGGGAGCCTGACATGGGACTTGATCCCGGGTCTCCAGGATCATGCCCTGGGCTGAAGGCGGCGCTAAACCACTGGGCCACCTGGGCTGCCCTGACCTATTGTTCAGAGAGAGAACAATAGGCTCTCTGAAATGTTGACAAGAGTTATAACTACTCTACAGTGTTTCTCCCAAATCCCCAGGCTTTCAGGTATTCTAGTATGGGACATTTTTCCTTCTTGAAATAGTTCACAAAATGTTCAAACACATACCACAGACAAAAACCCTCATCAAAAAATCCCAAGGGGGAAAAAAAAATCCCAAGAAATAACCAAAGAATAACAGTAAATTTCCCTCCCACACACTGATGGAAGATCTGTGACAATAACTGTATGGTGATTAGAGGTAAATGATGATCTGTAGCCTATTTCCTTTGGAAGACTTCGCAGTGATATCTTTAGTATATGTGCTGCCGAAGCAAGCACCCGCAGTGGTATCTTTAAAGGCAGTATGTGTGGGGATCTCTGGGTGGCTCAGTGGTTTAGTGCCTGCCTTCGGCCCAGGGTGTGATCCTGGAGTTCCAGGATTGAGTCCCACATCAGGCTCCCTGCATGGAGCCTGCTTCTCCCTCTGCCTGTGTCTCTGCCTCTCTCTCTGTGTCTCTCATGAATAAATAAAATCTTAAAAAAAAAAAATAAAACAAAGGCAATATGTGTAAACATGTTTACATGGATACAGAGAGTTAAACACTCTGCTTCCATCTTAACTTCTCTTCTCCTTCCCCTCCTACAATATAGACTGTATCTATTTGCATTTCATTTTGTGTGTTTCTGCTTGGAGCAGACGAATTTTTATACATCTGCATTTTGAATTAAATTTAAATCCTCTTTACTATAGCATGGGAAAAGAAAAAAAAAAAGACTGACCAGTGCCAATTTAGTTTCAGCCATTTCATATAGGAATCCAAAAGCATCAAATTTCCTTGTACTCTGGGAACAATATATAGCACGAACAAAAGGTTATAGCGGGAAGAAATGTAATTGATTCTGAAGAGCGTGAACATCTGCAAAGAATGTATTGTAAGAGAAAATGATCTCTGAGGGTCCTACTTCTGATGATGAAACGGTTTCTAGTTCCCCATGTCAGAGAAATAACCCTCTGCTCCACACACCCCTCCTTCAAGCCCAATCCACTGAGCAGAGACAGCAGATGTTTGCAGCTAGTTTCCACAACACAGAAACAAATAGAAATAAGTGCAAGGAGACTTCACACAACTAAACCTGCCCGGTGGTGTTGAGTTTTTCCTCAGAGGAAAAGTGGAACAAACTATATTCCAGTCCAAATTTTGTCATTAAACATAATGGGATTGTGGCCCAGTCAATTTATCTTCCCAGGCCTCATGTTTCTTGAGCTCTCACATGGGAGAGTCGGGCTGGATGGCAGAAAAAGTCTTTTCATGGTGTTGTCTATAGTGGAAAGATTAACAGACTATTGTTTTGTTGAGAAATTCCTTATGTCTTAGACTTTCTATTTAATTTAATTAATGTATCTGAAGATTTATTTTTCTCAAGTAATCTCTACACCCAGTGTGGGGCTCGAACTCACAACTCACAACTCTGAGATCAAGAGTTATATGTTCTACCCACTGAGCCAGCCAGGTACCCCACAGACTTTCCATTTTATTTTATTTATTTATTTTTTAAACAATGTTTATTTATTTTTTATTTATTTATGATAGTCACACAGAATGAGAGAGAGGGGCAGAGACACAGGCAGAGGGAGAAGCAGGCTCCATGCACCGGGAGCCCGACGTGGGACTCGATCCCGGGTCTCCAGGATCGCGCCCTGGGCCAAAGGCAGGCGCTAAACCGCTGCGCCACCCAGGGATCCCAGACTTTCCATTTAGATGGGAAGAGCAAACATTGTAACACAAGTGATTTAAGAACATCAACATTTATTTAACATGATAAAAAAGAAATGAGATATGAACATTTGCATTTAAACAAGAGTAAGTAGCCTTTAATACTTACATGTGCTCATTGTATAATATATACACAATGAACATAATTACATTTGTACACAAACTAAGTACTGGATTTGAAAACCTGCTTATTGCTGTACACAACTATCCCAATTGAAGTATAAGCCCAGTACTTCAAAATACCTACATTTTAAGTTGTATTTTTAAGAAAAAGTAAGCGGTAACATTTGTGTTTAAGCTGACAAGAGTGTGGCAGTAACTGCTGACATTGCAATCTGACTGAGAAATAATTATAGCAGAAAACAGGACATACTTCACTTAGCAATAATAAAATGGCACATCTTAAATATATATATAAAATTTTTACAAATCAAGTGTGAAACAAAGCATTGCAGTAGCCAAAATGGGAAGAAAAAAAAAAGGAAAACAAGCTTCATTGGAAATAACTAAATTTATGTACTGAAAAAGCAAAAAGAAATATAAATCCACCTAAACTTTAGAAACATCAAAATCTAGAAATCAGCAACTAAGTAAGCTCTGGCTGTAGACCGCACATTAAAAAAGCACCTTTACTTATGTGCTCTGAAATCATAGCAGCAAGCTGGTGTCAGAACAACCTTGAGATTACGGAGTGTACATATGAGCCATTAAAGCTATTTGGAATAAACATTTTCCAGAAGTGATAAAATGATGCTCTGTGGCCAAAAGCATCAGAACTATGAATTTCATAGATTTAAAATATACTGTACAATATCTTCTCACATTGCTGAAGGTCCATGTCCTTAGCTTTGAATGGTTTCAACAGAAGTTAGTATAGCTGAAAAATAAAGACAGGGAAAATTACTTTTGACACCTGAAAAGTTAATGAGTAGCCATTTCCTAAAGTAACTGAGGGTGTCCTTCTATAACAACAGAACTGACAAGCATAGTCACGAAAATCCTAAGACATAATATAACGGAAGGATAATTTCTTGTCATTTCACAGGTTTAATTCACAAAGCAAAAAATGCAATTAAATAATTCAGAATTAAAAAAAGGTAGCCGAATTTGTGGCTTAATCCAAAAGATCAACAAAATGAGTGAAGATTTGCATAATTTTGCTAAAATATGTAATAATATACTAAGCCGCCTACACAGCAGCATCAGTTATGAATCTTTCCAAAGTTCTGCCAAAACTACTAAGTCATCAAGATAACATACACAGAGTGAGAAGACATAAAAATAATAACGGGTTGAGTGCCACTAGTTATTCATGGTGGCTGCATGCCAGGAGACTAAAAAATACCCGGTAATAACCGGACACCATTCTAGTATATAATGCCATTGACTCTGAGTGAAAGTAAAACGAAACAAAATCCAATAATAACAATTTAAGGAACCTTTAAATGTACTTGGGTTTTAACTGTAAATACTCTTTATTGTCAAACAACATTCTTTATTATCATTGGTCTGTGTACAAAGAATTGTAACCTGTTTTTGAGCCAAAAGATAATGAGACTAGATTTTAATATATACTGCTCCACTAAGATAGGAAGAGGCCATCTACCAATTCTTTGCACAAGAGGAATTAAATAAGTATGAATTAAATACTATGCTGGTATTATTCTGTCACTAGTGGCAACTGTCACTTCAAACCACAGTAAGTTAAAAGTTTAAATGCATGAGTGACAGAGGCAAGACATAGGTAGACTATAATAAACCGGTGGTTTATAACTTCAGAAAGGATGTCAATCCTGCATAAACACCAGCTGACAACAGAGCCTCTTCCAGGCTCTATGTAGACATGATATCTCTATCTTTTTAAAAGATTTTATTTATTTATTCATGAAAGACACAGAAAGAGAGGCAGAGACACAGGCAGAGGGAGGAGAAGCAGGCGCCATGCAAGGAGCCCAATGCAGGACTCAATCCTGGGAACTCCAGGATCATGCCCTGAGCCAAAGGCAGATGGTCAGCCACTGAGCCACTCAGGCGTCCCGTCCCGCTATGTAGACATAATCTCAAATAAAAGTTACAAATATGACAAGACAGACATAAATGCTTCAGGGCGAACAAAAGGACACAGGTTATAGTTGCTACAAAAAAGGTATGAATGGAAGAAGATTTAAGAATATAAGCATTACTGGATACTAAGTATTTGTACTATTTTGAGAATCTAAAAGTCAAAGAATATGTTAGCAATAATGTTTGTAGTATCTCTATGTGTTTTCACTGTTTATAATAGTTTAAAAGAAACTG